CACACACACACACACACACACACACACACACACACACACACACACACACACACACACATATATATATATATATATATATATATATATATATACGTTTGTATTTATATACCTGTATATCTATACCTATATAGCTACACATCTACACTAATGCATTTGTCAGGAAGTCTCGAACTATTTGATATCATAAGCACATATCATGTTTAACGTTTTCATGAGCTAATCATAAATCGTCCATGGCACTGTTTCATGTCCCTCTCCTTGTCCCCGTCCACCACCCTCTCGATTTACGATGTGGATATCATAAAACGTTTAAAATGTGGATATCATAATACGTTTACAACTTGGATATCATAATTGATTTAAACCCCGTTTCTGCTACACTTTTTCATCTCCGACCGATCTTTCACCCAACGACCCTAAACTAAAACCCTAAACCTGCCACTCTTGGGGTCAGGTGCGAAAAAGCGGCAACCAAACGCTGTTCGGTACAATGACAATGCATGGCGCAGACTTCTCGTCGGCTGTGTGGCACATCAGTCTGTGGGCGGTCATGTTTCCGTTGCTGAAAAACGTAAAGGATGGGCTGCAGGATGTCAAGGACAGGGTATGCATGCCCGTATTTACGTCTGTGTACGGTTTGTGTTCCGGTATGCGTCTGTGGGCGGGGGCGTGTGAGATAAGGTGAGGGTGGGTGTGTCTCTGGCCTACAGTCCGCTTCTCATATGTAATTTTCGACGTTCTAAATGTAGTGATTGTTGTGTAACTAGGGCCTTTCTCTCCGTTCGAAGCTCGGTGCATCTATAGTCACTTAACCACGTGTATGCATTGGCACTTGTCTTAGGTGTAGACGCACACCATCCAGTATAGATACACTCTGTTCTATTTATAGACCTGTCATACTACTGGTGTTCTATTTATAGACTTGTCTTACTACTGGTGTTCTATTTATAAACATCATACCAGTTCTATTTATAAACATCATACTACTGGTGTTCTATTTGTAGACCTGTTATACTACTGGTGTTCTCTTTATAACCAGGAGAACGATACGTCCAAGGACCATCCCACCGAAGAAGGGCCCATCATTGTACATCACAGCCGCAACACTGCGGTCAAACAGTGGGACGAAACAACTGTCATCTCACTCGACGGTAAGTGAAGCACTTTCCCTGTTGTATTCGCATGTACGTACGCATGTAAGCATGTAACAACACACACACACACACACACAATATA